AAGAACATTAAGGAGAATCTGATGATCGATTGTATCAAAAGCAGCGCTTAGATCCAGTAGCACAAGAAGCGTAATTTCCTGATGGTCCATTGACATAAGAATATCACTTTGAACCTTAAGCAAGGCAGTTTCGGTAGAGTGAAATCTTCTAAACCCTGATTGTAACTTCGGCAGAGGAGCATTGTATTCACAGTGCTTAAACAATTGAGAAAGAACCGCCTTTTCGACGATCTTGGAGATGAATGTTAGATTGCTTACCGGACGGAAGTTTTTATAAGTTAACTCTAGACCGGGTTTCTTTAATAGAGGTTTCACAATTGCAGTTTTCCAATCATCGGGAACATAGGCGTGGCGAATAGACAAATTTACCATGCGAGTAATGGAGGGCGCAAGGACGTCAAGACAAGACTTCACAAGCCATGTAGGGATTGGATCCAGGGAGCATGAGGCATTAGACGATGTACTGATTATATTGCAAACATCTTCCACTGATAACGGCGAAAAACTGTCAAGTTCTACAGCTGGGGACTTTAAGCAGTCAGGAAGGTAACGCCACGGAAGACGTCGATTAAAAAATGAGTTTTTACTTTTAGTTAGAATTCGAAAATGGCTGCATGTGTTTACCGTCTCATAGGGCGCCAGACCTCAAACTCAAGATAACGCATAAAAGTGGCGTTGAGTTCCAAATGTAAATTAAAATAATTTGCTGCCGCGGATTCGCTTCGCAGATTACGCAAATTTGGGTGATTTCACGTTGTGGTTTTAAAAGGACGGCTAAGAAATGTACAAGTTTTAAAATGCACGTGCTGGGCTATTGTTCTGCCAATTAGATCTATTGTTTTTCCAAGTTCTCGTTGCCGTAGCCGTCGTGGTTTGCTTAAAGTCTCTACTGACTGAACACAGACCGGCGACGAGGAAAGTTGAAGTCAATAATCACATTGCTGAACATCATCGACTTGCGAACCACAGTATAGACTAGGACTCTGCGCAATGCCTAACCTACAGCACTAACTACTTTGAACAACTGACTCTGGAAAGCTGGTTTATTAACTTAGAACAGACTCCCCTAAACAGATGTCAACTACTACCGGCTCCAAGCAAACGACTCATTCACGACATTAACACTACAAACGAACCGAACAGAACGACTTAACTTTACCGACGAAACAGACCAATACCGAGCGACTCACGCCACTTGAGTCTTTAAACCAATAACATCACGGCAAAACCGACCAATCTTTTTACATAGAGTACAATTATTCATTCACGAGATAGAAATATAGATAAAAAATTCATCTTGAAATCGTATTTGAGAGGTTAGCGCGACAATCCCTATAAATAAAAAGCGTAAATGACGTGTAAAATGTAAGACCTATTTACAAACTCTATTAAAATGCAATATCAATTAGTTTCCAAATTAAAAATTGTAAAACATTTACATATAATAATAATAATAATAATATTAATAATACTAATAATAATAACTTTATTATACACAGAATTAGTTGACACTTATTTACAGTAAAGCTGTGAAATATTCTAAAGTTTACTTAACGTCCATAAAAAGTATTGTTCCAAACAGAGGCAGTAATCCAGCGTGTACCACCTCACTAGGCACACGCAGTTTTATGCTTGCCTGAAGGGAGGAGGAGCAGTGCTGCTGGTAGCGCTGCACAGTGAAGGACTCAATCAGGACTTCTCACTAAGTTCATGACGAAGGGTGGTTCATAAGGCTGTGATTTTTTTTCTAACTCTCGTTTGTTGTGATTTGAGGAACAAAGGAGCTTGGTGCTTCAGTACAATAGTTGCCATCGTTCGAATCTCAACAGTATCTATCACAGTGGCATATACGTTATACGTCGATAGAGTTTACTGAAAACGATTTAAAGGATTGCAATACTCACTTTTAAGCGCACAGAGATAAATCTTTGATCCCATCAGTATATCATGAATAAACGATGATTGTGCTCTCTTTCTGTGTATTGGTACAGTAATTGTTTGAGAAAAATGAACAAACACTGTGGAGAAGGAACAAGATTCGTAGCAAAGTCGATAATTGGCTTTAATAAAGTGCAAGTACCTGTAAAAGATCCTTCAAAGTAAAATGGCTTGCTGTACGGTTCAAGTGCCTTATTTATGAAATGCCATTTTTGAGAAAAAGGGAACTTTCACGTATAACAGACGTTATTTGATCCATTTCCCACGCACGAGATTATTGTGTGATGGATGTCCTCCCCTGGGGTGAGATGGGTGGGGAGGTGAGATTGTTACATGGACCGAAGCGGCTGCCAGAGGCGCCTGATAACATACTGACGTCCGATCTCAACCTTAACAACAACATGTATATCAACCTGTAATTCAGCATTCTTTGCAAAAGGTTTAAATAAACATTATTGTTATGTTTATTAATATAAACTGCTAGCATACAATAATCATTGATTATACCGATAACATACAATTTTTAACACTCTAATCCTTACCTGAATATATAGTATATCGTCTCCAAACGTCGAATTATCCCGATATGTTCCTTATTTAATGTCACGAGACCAAAGAACCGAGGAATACTCCTTACTGGTGACTGCTGGCTACATGAAAGTTCCTTTGCTTCTAGCTTGTATAGATGAATAGGATGCATTATTTATAGCATTTCAAAGCGCATAATAGTTTCAACAACAGCTACACTGTACATATAGAAACCATAATATAATTAGACTACCCAAAATCATCTAGAGGGAGAAGGACTCTTCATTATGTTTTGTTTTCAGTACCCAAAGTTACTTAAGAGAGTTTTTTTTTCATAAGTTAGCTAGGATGTTGCTGAAAGTAAGGCTACCTATCTAACTTATCTTGAAAATTGTTTCAATGCAACGGTCTGTACAGTGGTAGTGTAATTCCCTGACTAGTTGTGACAGCATTAATTGTTTCAAGATGTGATAAATCGAGACAGGAATAACAGAAATGTATGATGCTGAGCTATAAATAGATATTCAGGATAAGATTCGAGAAAGTACAAAATGAGCGAAGTTATTTGATGAATTTGATTTCCTTCCTTAAAAAAAAAGGTGAGGGCAGACACAAACCAAAATTGAAACGTTGTGTGATGTTGACAACTTGTATGCGATAATTAATAAGAATCATTCGGCCATCAGTGATCTACTTGATTTTGAGGCCGATTAAATTCATTCACATAGGAATTGCAGCGAAATTACTGATATCTGTGTATGTGCTCAGAATACGTATTTCTAATCAGGAGGTTGTTGAAATTTAAATTACACTTTAAATGATTTACTCCAATTCGTTATTGAAGCACTTCTTTTAAACCTGGGCTTTAAATATTCATAAAATAAACGTTTAGAATTTGCTCTTTTTTTCCACATCACTAACAGCTCGGTCCATCACTTGTTCACTTTAAGAAGACTTCAAAAAGGTTTTATTTGGCAAATTTCATGTTTCACAGGTTTAGATAATCATTGAACACCACTCGTGTTACTGCAACTTCACTAGATAGAATGTTTTCAAATGTTTTCCGTAGAGGTTGAACTCGCCTTTACTTGACAGTGTCATTCATACCAATGTTTCATTTTGGCTTCTGCCGTAAGTCACGCAAGAATCAACTAATCTCACGAGCTCTCATTTCGTTTTCAGTCACGAACGAATGTAATTCATCAATCCCCGTGTGTGTCAGTTCACACGGGGATGCGTGAACACCATCGGTTCCTACGTACAGTTGCTGATGCAAAGCGGGTTTAGTTGGAAATGGAAAAGGTTGTATTGGTAAGTTAGTGTCATGACTTTCATTGTTGCCTGAGGCAGCTAATTGAGAATAAGTGGGCTTTGAAGGAGCAGGCGTGGTTAGGATAGCAGAGAGGTCAGGAACTGGGTATCGTTTGGAAAGCGATTTTTTGACAAAGTGGCGAAGTTTTTTTGGACCTAACAGGGAGAGCAATAAAGCAAAATGAAAGCAATTTAGGGTTATATTACTTCCTATACTCAAAAGCAAATTGCTCCAAAAAACCGTTAAGCTTTAGATCTCACACCCATGTATTCATCCATTCGGTAAATCATTCTTTCAGATGTTGACGAAGGTATCAAGAAATCAAATGACTTTGACATTAACTGACGATTGGAGCGGTACCTTTTTTCAACTTCGAGAGAATGGTTTGGAAGTAGTCTTGCTGAGAGAATTCTTCTCCAGTGTTTAATACTTAGTTAACGTAGAGTCTCATTGGTTTTGTCGAAGATATGGACAAATGTTTCTCGGGATCGCGGACGCCTTTTATATTTCGTTCGCACTTCAAATATCTTTAATAGCAAAAGCAAAGCAATCGTGTACCATTGTGACACAGGAATAAAAGTTTGATATCGATAAATTGTGTTGAAACAACACCAGTTTTTTTTTTTTTTTTTAATTCAAGGATTCAAAGGATTTCCTCTTCATTTGGCACTTACTGGGTCTGATCCATACGTAAGGTGAGATGGATAAATGCGTCCTTCCACTAGGAAGAACATTTTCGAACGCTATTTTTTGTGAAAAGTTCAAATTTTCGCTTTTAATCATTGACCTCAGCGATTGAAATTGGTATTGTTTACAGCTGATGAGTTCAACAGCTTGTAACTTGAAAGTACCCAGAACTGTGATGATGCATAAAATTGTAGCTTTGATGAGTTAATATTTCTAAATACAAGAAATTATTAAGTTGATTTCACGGATGAAAGTTGTGATATTCTTGAATATGGGTTGCACCAAGAGATCATAAACTGTTTAATCTCCTGGTTGTACCCAAAGAACACTGCTAGCTATTCTCTGTCGCATTTACACCTGACTTTTCCTAATTTTTCCAGGAAGTACAAAAATCTTCTTTAATTATCTCAGAAAGCGGATATTTTCCAGAAGGGATCAATAAGAGGCCTTTCTTGAAAAGCTTTTAAGCACCTTCAGTTAATGGTGACATTCTTTCATTTAGCTGCTTGCGCAAAAGATTTTGCATAGTCTCCTGTGGTATGTACATTGACACATGTATCTCCTTTATTTTCATGAATCTAAAAGTTTGTACAATGGTGCTTCCTATCGAAATATTGATGGCAGGACATTACTGTACTTGAATGGAACCTAGCCTCACTAGGCGTAAACCCTAGCTTTCCCGCTTAGAACTATCAGCTTTAGTTTCATGTGTTGGACAAAGGCTTTAAGCCTTCCTCCAAGTGATCGTCTTGTTCATATATATTCTGACTGGTCGGAACCGCTTCAGCTCAGAATGTTTTGGTGTCAGACAATTTGTGCTCATCTTCGGAATCCTCAAAGACGTGATATAGTTTATTTCTGTCGCAAGTAAGTGCTTGTTTTCTTACGTAGAATTAATAGATAGGAAGAGACACGAAGAGCATTTAGGTCAGTGTATTCCAGAGCTATTTACCTTGTTAGGAAGATACTGTGAAGCGGAGATTTGCGTAAAGTCTCATTAACATGTGTTCTATTCTCTTATAGTAAAAGGAAAAACACCATCCCCAATAAATGGACTCTTAAGGGAGTGGTGTTTACAGAATATGGTCACAACTCAGTTTGACCTGTTGCTATCTGACCGACAACATGAGAATCGTAATTGGCAGCATACACCTGCCTTGGAGTCTTGCACATTGGGGGAACTCAACAGGGCGTAAGACCAAGGCGAGTTTAAGGAACTCCGCAGTCTTGTCTTCTCTGCAGGTGCTGCGCTTACGACCCCAACACAAACAACGAGGAACAAAATCAAAGGGAACTTCATCTGAGGAAGCAAGGAAAACATTAGGTTGGACACATCCTTCCGAAATATAAAACTACATTACTCAACAAATAGAGAAACCTTGGCTGTGCTGTATTATTTTTTAAAGTGCGCAGGAAGCGTCTAGAGCCGTAAAGAAGTGTCCTCTTGAGTGATCGAGCCGCTTTCTAAGTGCTTTATAACGGAATAGAGCAAAAAAAAAGGCTTCTCCAGTTGTCCTATAATCATGGAACCCGTTAAATTCCCCACGCACTACTTTCAATTTTCTAGACAAACTTTAATTTATTTCCAATGTCGTTAGCATGCTCTATAATCTCATTAAATAGGCTACAATAATCAATCAGAATTCTTGTTAAAATGGTTCAATGAATCTGTTTGGTTGAACAAGACTAGAGCTGTCAAAAATGTTCAAAAAATGTTCAAAAAGGTTCACCAACCATCAAAGTTCAAAATCTGTCAAAGCTCAGAAACTGAAATGGTTCGGCAAGTCGAATTTAACACTTGCCTGAGGCTTTATATAATTTTTAGTCTCAATGTTCAGTGAATTGATCTCTGCTCACGTTATCATAACGTCAGTCTTGCCTGACAAGGAGTGAAAAGCAGTAAATATGACAAATCAAGAAACTCAAACAAAACAAAACATTGTTTATCATATTTAACGACTGTAAATGCTCGCAGCCGAATGCACTTTAACTCTCGCCAAAAATGGATGGCAGTACCTTGCTGAGATAAAGGTCTTGAAGGAGTTTCGTCTCTTTATTTCAGTTTGTCCCTGCCAACTTGTAAAACGACCTTAAACATAATGGAAGCAGCGATAGCTCACTAATATTAACTACTCTCATTTCTCTTAGGGCTATTGCGGCTGCCGCAATCGATCATGAAATTACGTGGAAGGCAAGAAAAATATACTGACTTGAATCGCAATATTGCATTATTACCGTCAGATTAATGAGATATTTTCTCTAAACAATCAAGTTCGTAAACATACCTTTCAAGCAAGTTTGGGTGTGAATTGCAGTGCAACAGCTTACAAAATGCTGCCTATGAGCACAACACGTCCTAAATGAAGCAATTCATGGTTGTGTTAAATATTGATTGGTGTTGAAAACTCAGTTCGACCTTTCAACCAATCAGATACATATGCATTGTGAATTTACATTAAAGGGTAATATATGCGTGACCGGAAATGCGTAGAAGCCAAATACATTGCGCAAAAGCGAAGCTTTGTGTTAACTTAATTTTTTTAGGACCATTAAATATCCTAATAATAAGCCCACCATTTCTGAGGGGTCTGTTTTGATACTTTGTTTCGCAGCTGGTAACGGGTTTTCTGTGGAGTGAGTCTCTATCGTTCGTGTCGAGTATTCATGGCTTTCATATTCTCGTTCGTTGTTATTTTATTTCGCCAACAGCAAGCCGACGTGGCTCTTCATTTCCACCATCGGATTTTGTCCTTTGCTGATGTAATATAAAACAAACACAAAAACAATAGCAGACACAAAAATTGCTAAAGCAATTTTCAGTTTCATCCTAGCCGTACGTCGAAATATAATCATATTGGAATCGTCTTTAATAGCCTGCATGTTATTGATAATATTTGGCAGGATCAACTTGACTTGAGAGAGCGGTGTTTGTGTTGCCAAGAAGCACTGGATGTCTAAATAGCATTCGTCTGCTGTAGGCGAATAATCATTTCATAGAGTTGTGGATAATATCATGAGAATAGGAAGAAAGCTTT